CAAGGTTTAAAACTCAAGAGCTTAAGTATTGATGTGGTTGTTCAAGCGCATTTGTATATATTGAATAACATAGATGAAGTTCAACCTTACTTATCTGCTCACAAAAGCATCATAAAGAAAAAGTACCCCAAGATGAATGAAAGAGGGTTGTTAAAAGAGCATAATAAGAGTCTTGAAAGTTTATATCGATATTGACTGGTTGCTCAAAATTATAGGTGGATGTGAATAACTGCTGGTGACAAAGAAAGTAGAAATAGTGAAGGAGGAAAGATGAAGAACTTGTGTAAGGTTTTATGGAAAAACCGCTGGATGTCTTTTGATGACACTGGACTATGGTGAAGTATTGTTGGTTTCTCTATAATACAATTATCAGTTTTTTACTTTTATTCATGTAAATTTTCACATTCGGTCACCCTGAATTTTGATATTAACTCATAAATGCTTGAAATTTGTTTAATAGTCCTCTGATATTTGAGGAGATGTTACTTGAATTTTATCTTTATCTTTAGACTATCAAGAAAACAGGAGTTGTAGTTATTAGTTATAGCATGATGATATTGAAGTTGCATTATACAAACCATGATAATTGTTTTCATCTTCTGTAATGTTTAGACATCAATATTATCGTCGACTAGATGACATAAAATTTAGGACATAAAATTAACAAGATATCATTGTGATATTGAATTCCTGAAAATATGAAAACCAAGTGATGGATTTGATAAGAGCTTGGCGTTTATGCGGGGGGATTGTTATAGCCTGGAGAAGTTGTTCCATCAGCATAAACATGATAACGAAAAGCTCCCAATTCTTGCATGTTAGTATCAAAGAACTAGGTAATAGTGAATGTTTTCTTACATCAGTGTATGCTAGCACTAGTGTATGTATTATGGAAAAACCGCTGGATGTATTTTGATGATACTGGACTATGGTGAAGTATTGTTGGTTTCTATATAATACATGTATCAGTTTGTTACTTTTATTCATGAAAATTTTCACATTCAGTCACTCTGAATTTCGATATTAACTCATTAATGCTTGAAATTTGTTTTATAGTCCTCTGATATTTGAGGGGATGTTACTTGAATTTTTTATTTATCTTTAGACTATCAAGAAAACAGGAGTTATAGTTATTAGTTGTAGCATGTCAATATTGAAGTTGAATTCTACAAACTTTGATCATTGTTTTCATCTTCTATAATGTTTAGACATCAATATTATCGTCGATCAGATGACAAAAAATTTAGGACATATAATTAACAAGATATCATTGTGATATTGAATTCTTGAAAATATGAAAACCAAGTGATACCAAGTGATGGATTTGATAAGAGCTTGGCGGTTATGCGGGAGGATTGTTATAGCCTGGAGAAGTTGTTCCATCAGCATAAACATGATAACGAAAAGCTCCAAATTCTTGCATGTTAGTATCAAAGAACTAGGTAATAGTGAATGTTTTCTTACAGCAGTGTATGATAGCACTAGTGAGGATAAGAGGTATGTATTTTGGGATGACTAGAAGGGGATATCAGACTTGATGAGTCAACCATGATTGGTAGCATGTGACTGTTAGAAGATGCAATTTGTTTAGAGATCGCATTAACAATTATAATCTCATTGACCTTGGATCAACAAGGCCTGGGTTTACATGTTATGGTCCTCTGTATCTTGGAGGACATAGAACTTATTAAAAGCTCCATCGTGCTTTTGGTAATGAAGAGTGGAGACTTATATTCCAGGATGCATAAGTGAAAGTTCTTGCTAGAGTTTACTTTTCGGATCATCATCCGATTTTTATCATGCCTTACTACCAGGTTAATATGAGTGCTATCAGATAGTTTAAGTTTGAAAGCTCTTGTTTGCTTAATATTAATGATCATGATTTCATCAAGACAGTTCGGAAGGAAGAGCTTCATTTGGAGGATAATTTGGCTAAAATTAGAGATAATGTTCTGGCCTTTTGCATCTATCACTTAGATGTTGTAAACATGTCACAGAAAAGGGAGTGATGCATGTGGTTCAAAACTGCACACAACTTAAGGAGATCGATTTGAAATTTTGTTATAAAGTGGATGCGGATGTTCTTGTCTCAGAAACAGTTAAAAGAGATATTGTTCCGCCACTTTTTTGTTTTAGTAAGGTAAAGAGAAAACTATTCCCGCATCATCATAACTTAATCTTGACTAGTCTTGAAAGTTTATATCAATATTAACTTGTTGCTCAAAATTATATGTGGATGTGAATAACTGCTGGTGACCAAGAAAGTAGAAATAGTGAAGGAGAAAAGATGAACAACTTGTGTAAGGTTTTATGGAAAAAACGCTGCACGTCTTTTGATGACACTGGACTATGGTGAAGTATTATTGGTTTCTCTATAATACAAGTATCACTTTGTAACTTTTATTCATGTAAATTTTCACATTCGGTCACTCTGAATTTCGATATTAACTCATAAATGCTTGAAATTTGTTTTATAGTCTGATATTTGAGGAGATGTTACTTGAATTTTATCTTTATCTTTAGACTATAAAGAAAACAGGAGTTGTAGTTATTAGTTATAGCATGCCGATATTGAAGTTGCATTCTACAAACTTTGATAATTGTTTTCATCTTCTCTAATGTTTAGACATCAATATTATCGTCGACCAGATGACATAAAATTTAGGACATAAAATTAACAAGATATCATTGTGATATTGAATTCTTGAAAATATGAAAACCAAGTAATGGATTTGATAAGAGCTTGGCGGTTATGCGGGGGGGTTGTTATAGCCTGGAGAAGTTGTTCCATCAGCATAAACATGATAACGAGAATTCTTGCATGTTAGTATCAAAGAACTAGGTAATAGTGAATGGTTTCTTACAGCATTGTACGCTAGCACTAGTGAGGATAGGAGGTATGTATTTTAGGATTACTAGAAGAGGATATCAGACTTGATGAGTCAACCATGGCTGGTAGCATGTGACTGTTAGAAGATACAATTTACCATGGCTGGTAGCATGTGACTGTTAGAAGATACAATTTGGTTAGAGATCGCATTAACAATTATAATCTCATTGACCTTGGATCAACAAGGTCTGGGTTTACATGTTGTGGTCCTCTGTATCTTGGACGACATAGAACTTATGAAAAGCTCCATTGTGCTTTCGGAAATGAAGAGTGGAGACTTAGATTCCCGGATGCACAAGTGAAAGTTCTTGCTAGAGTTGACTTTTTGGATCATCATCCGATTCTTATCATGCCTTACTACCAGGTTAATATGAATGCTATCAGACTGTTTAAGTTTGAAAGCTCTTGACTGCTTAATATTAATGATCGTGATTTCATCGAGACAGTTTGGAAGAAAGAGCTTCATTTGGAGGATAATTTGGCTAAAATTCGAGATAATGTTGAAGACTGGAACTTGCATACTTTTAATCAAGTCATAAACAATAAGAAAAGAATTATGGAAAGATTACAAGGATTTAAAACTAGCATCCAAAGAAGAATACACCATGTTCGCATCATTAAGATGGAGAATAAGTTGCACAAAGAACTTAGTGACATTTTGAAAGAAGAAGAGGTCACGTGGTTCCAAAGTCTAGAGCCAAATGGTTGGAGGATGGACATCAGAACACCAAATATTATCATATGAAGGCCATCAATAAAAGAAATCGCAATTAGATCGTTATCCTGAAAAATGAGCAAAGGGAGTGGGTTGAGGATGAGACAACTCTCAAGTGTATGGTGAATGAATATTATTATGAGTTGTTTAAACTTAATAACAACAAATTTGAGTGACATGTTACTAGTTGTAATTTTCCTAAGATGGAGGAAACGGATGTTGCGAGTTTTTCCAAACCCTTTGAGGCTACAAAAATAAAAAAGTTGTTTTTTCTATGAGCTCTTGGAAGGATCTTGGACAGGACGGAGTTCCGACAGGTTTCTACCAAAAGTCTTGAGGCATAGTAGGAAGGAAATTTTGCGATATGGTGCAACGAGTGTGACAGAACCCTGGAGATATAATGCATATTAACCAAACTAACATATGCCTTATTTCTAAGGTGAATCAACCCCAAATAGTCTCCCAACTTCGTCCCATCTCGTTGTGCAATGCAGTGTATAAAGTGTTAAGCAAGATTCTAGTTAACAGTCTCAAAATTTGTATCTCGAAATAGATCTATCTGTATCAAACAAGCTTCATCCCGAGAAGAGATATTCATGACAACATTATTATTGCTAAAGAAGTTATGCATTCGATGAATCGTATGAAAGGGAAGAAAAGGATACTTTATGATTAAAGTAGACTTATCCAAAGCATATGATAAGATTAGATGGGAGTGCATTTGGAGAGTTCTCGTTGAAATATAGCTTCCTGAGAATATGATCAACAACATTTTGCATGCGGTTTCAAGTGTTGAGACCAATGTTAAGTGGAATTGTGTCAGGAGTAATTATTTTAGACCGCAAAGAGAAATTAGACAAGGAGATCATATTTCTCCTTATCTCTTTGTGTTGTGCATGGAGAATTTATCTCATCTTATTCTGGAGGCCATGCATAACATGGATTGTAAGGTGTTGCGTTTTGGTAAAGAGGGGACTTGGTTGTCTCATCTAATGTTTAATGATGATCTCTTACTGATAGGAGAAGCTACTGAAGCCCATATAGAGTATGTGATGTGGATTCTTCATAAATTTGGTAATATGTCAGACCAAGAAGTGAATAAATACAAATAATGTGCAAAAAGGGGTCAGAAATAAGTCGATTTAGGCATCATGCTTTCATGAAAAACCAGACATGGGGAAGTATCTTGGTGTCTCCATTAGTGGAAAAAGCCTTCGAAGACAAGAATATCAATGTCTGATAGAGCAGATCTCAGCAAAATTATCCAATTGGAAGGCTAAAAATTTGTCTTTTGCTGGTAGATTAACATTGACTAAGAGTGTGACGGAAGCGGTTCAGATTTATCCTACGATGACAAATATTTTGCCTAAAATTTGTGTTAAAGATATCTAGCGCATGAAGAGGAATTTTATAAGGGGTGATACTAGTGACAAGAAGCAGATGCATGTGGTTAGTTGGTACACTATAACTAAACCGAAGGAGGAAGGAGGCCTAGGACTAAGGAAACTTGATATTTGCAATAGAGCATGTTTCATGAAGTTAGTTTGGAAGTTGCACAGCAACAAGGAGGAGCTTTGGTGTAATGTCTTAAGAAACAAATACAGGGTCTCAAATATTAATAATCACAGCTTCAAGAGTTCTTACTCTAAACTTTGGAGGGATATAGTCAAGACTGATCATATGATGTGTAACATTGGTAACTGGTGTGTTGGCAATGGGGAAACTATCCAGGCTTGGACAGATTATTGGATCGAACCGGGTGTAATCATTAGTGAGCTTGATGTTGGTATTCCTGATGAGATCTTTCTTGCTAGAGTGTGTGACCTGATTATTATGAAGGTAGTTAGAACTGGAAGCGGCTTAGGTAGTGGCTGCCGAATGGTATTACTCATAAAATCATGGAAATTCTTCCTCCAAGAAGTGAATATGTTATCGATGAATATTTGTTTGCGGGCTTCAACAAGAATCAGTTTTCAATGAGTACATGTTACGGTAATATTACGATGCAAGTTATCAATGGCACGTGTATTCTTTGGCACAAAATATGGGGGTTAAAAGTGTATGAGCGTGTTCGTTTCTTCATTTGGCTTTTTTCATATGGTCGTATCACCTCAAATTTATATTTAAGTGTTAAAGGGCTAGGTAGTGCTAGCTGTAATATTTGTGGTTGCGTGAAGCAAACTGCTTTCCATGACAAAGATTATAGAAGACCTCTGGATATGAGTGCTCTTGTTCATAATAGAGTTCAAGAGTTGATAGCCGTGAAAGAAGGTTGAATAATGTGGTTTAAAAACCTTCGGCGCTAGAGTGGTTCACACTCAATATAGATGGTTCCCAAATTTCTAAGGTAGTTATGGGCTGTGGTGGTAGCATTAGGAACATGAATCGTGTCTGCATATGAGTCTTCTTCAAGTTCTTGGGAAATTGTAGTGTTATAAAAGCAGAACTATGAGGTATTTTCGAGGGTCTCATTATTATCAAGGAGTTAGGATTAACTAAATTCGAAGTTAATATGGACACCACTATTGTTATTGATATGATTAGTACTGGTACAACATCAGATATGGATTTCTTAGCCATAGTTAAACAAATTATGAAGCTTGTGCATAACATTGGAGAGGTGAAAATTCTTATTGCTATTGTGAACCCTATTGGAAATCCACCAAAACCTATAATGAATTTCTACCAATTTTAATGAACAAGATTGATATCACCATACAATGACAATGAAAAATATAAAAGAAAAGAAGAAAGAAGACAATTATTTTTCTGCAGAGTTTCTCTCTGCCTACAAACTGTGGAAAACTTTGTTATTCACTTGCAACTGCAAATTCTATGAATACAACTTAATTGACTTTATTATAAAAATAGGGGTTACTCCCTATTTACAGATTTAGGTTAGCTTACTCCCTAAGCCAAAGCCCAAAACTATATAAGCGTAAAATACCTATTTTGGAACTAAATAAAATCTATTCTATTTTAGATCTAAATCAAATATATCTAAATATAAAATCAAATATGTGTGCAGTACCTTTGACGCACCATGTTTTGGCACTTCCTTGTCTATGTCGAGCAAACAACTTCGACACAGGGAATTAATTTGAACATACCACCTAATTCATTGTGTCTAAGATATCTATATTCATCATGGCTCTAATTTTTTGAAATACTTCGACCTGCACAGCCTTTGTCATGATGTCTGCAATCTAATTCTCAGTTCTGCAGTGTTCCAAGTTCATATTTTCATATGTTACCTGCTCTCGAAGATAGTGGAACCTCATTTCGATGTGTTTGCTTCATGTCGAGTTACTTCCCCTTTGAGATTCATATTTAATTTGTATATCCACTTGACATCAATTGCCTTCTTGCCTTAAGGCAATTCGACAAGTGACCAAGTGTTATTGTCTTTGATGGATTTCACTTCTTCGTTCATTGCTTTCACCCACTTCGAATCCTTCAATGCTTCAGCAGCATTGACTGGTTCGACATCTTCATAGAAAGCATAATGTACCAGCTCGACCTTATATTTAACTACATCATCTGATGTAAGAACACAATCTTGCAATCTTGCAGGCATGTGTCTTGTTCTCTGAGGTCTGCTTGTACTTGGTTGATCTATAATTGCTGGTTCCTCTTGTCGAACTTCTCTTTTGACTTGAGCTTTTGGTTCTTCAAGTAGGATTCCCACTGAATCTTTCTTGACATTTTCATTCCAATCCCATTCTTTAAGCTCATCTATGATCACGTCTCTGTTGATCACAATTTTCTTGTTCACTGGGTCGAACAACTTGTAACCTCTTGTTGAATGATATCCAAATAGAATCATTTGACTTGACTTGTCATCAAGTTTTCTTCTTAATTAATCTGGCACATGTCTATGTGAAATAAATCCAAATACCTTCAGATGACTCAGTCTAGGCTTCACACCAGACAACCATTCTTCTGGAGTAATTCCTTCTAGCTTCTTCGTCGGACATGTGTTTAAAATATATGTTGAAGTCGACACAGCTTGACCCCAAAAACTCTTTAGGTAAATGCTTTCCTTTCAACATACTTCTCACCATATTCATGATGGTTCAATTCTTCCTTTCTGTAGTTCCATTCTGCTGTGGAGTGTAGGGTGGCACCACCTCAGGCATAATCCCTTCTTTTTCACATTACTTGTCTAAGTCTTTAGACACATACTCTCCACCACCATCAGTTCTCAAAACATTGAGCTTTCGACCACTTCGTCTTTTGACCATAGACTTAAACTTGGAAAATACCTCGATCACTTAACTTTTCTTCTTGATCAGGTAAGTCCATGGCTTTCGACTGAAATCATCTATGAATGTAATAAATTATTTGTTACCTCCCATCGAATCCACTTGGATTTATCCACATACATCATAGTATATGACTTCAAGAATAGCCTTCGACCTGCTTCCTGCATCTTTGCTGAAGCTATTCTTGTGTTGCTTTGCATGCACACATTCCTCACACACTTTGTTTAGAATGTCAATTTTTGGAAATCTTGAAACCATATTCCTTCTCTTCAAATCTCTGATGTCTCTGAAGTTGAGATGGCCTAATCGGTAGTGCCATACCCCTTCATCTCTACTAGCTGTAGTCGAAAGGCAATGGTGCTCCATCACATTAAGTAAAATCTTGAAACTCCTATTATAAGATTGTACCCATGCGTAATCCCCACTGAAGTCAACACTCTTGATGAGAGTTTGTTTAAGAGTTTGTCTCTTCCAGAAGGCTGGTCTCTTAAGAAGTGCTTTTCAGCGCGATTCTGTATAATCTTCTTCTTCAGCGCAGTCTATTATTTTCAAATAATATTAGAAGAATTGCTTCTATAGACTGAATACCTTTGTTATATCCTCTTGAAGTCAACACCCTGCATCTCTGTGGTTGGTATTTATCTCCCTAGTGAGGTTGTATTCATTGTCTCCATGAAGTTTATATCTTTTCTCCCCAGGGAAGTTTTGCCCAAGTCAAGTTTTCTTGAAGAGATGCGTGATCAACATCCTTATTATGCCTCAGTGGAGAAAGTCCCCTGTTTTTATGGAGCGGTGTGCATAGACGAAAGCCATATAGGGTTCTTTGATCCCCAGGGATAGAGTATTGCTGAAATATTTCTTCGGTGGAGTTCTTAACCTCAAGCTTATGATTCAAAGGTGCCCTTCTCTTCCTCAAGTGAAAATTGTTACCCTCGACGGTAGCATCCCCAATGTGACCTGGTTAGAATTCTTTTATTTAAGAATTTCTATGATTCCTCAGCTGAAGTCACTTTTATTGAGGACTTATATCAGGAAGGTCCCAGTTCTCAGCAAGATTCTCTTTATCTTTGGAAAGAGATGTTGAATTTGTTCCCCAAGAAGTTGGGTGTTTGATCATAATTCAAGATTTTCTCTGAAACTACAATTTATTTTTGCAGTATTCCTCTCCAGAAAGTTACTTCCTCAATGTTATCGATCTTTAGAGGTTGGTGGTTCGCACTCATTCTCCCTATTGAAGTTCATATTACCCTTTCTCTACAGAAGATCAGATGTACAAGATAATCGTTCGGAAGTCCATTATCTTCTCAACAGTCGATTCTTGATGTGCTTTCCCTTAGTGCATTGGTAAACATGCATCATTACATTGCATCTACCAAAACGCGTAGCATTTCCATTGTATGTAGCATTACGCTATAAAAATTCAAACATGCATAAGTATAAGCCAATTATGTTTATATGCAGTAACTCGATGGTTATACGCTCAGAGTTGAATTATCTCTACAGAAAACCTTGGGTGATCCTATCTTGTTTCCCCAACAGAGTCTATTTTGATTTACCACCAGTCGGGTCTTTGGTATTTCTCATTTCCTCAGTAAGTCATGGTATTCTCTTTCCCTTGCAAGCCTTTGGTTATTTTGCCCGTGTTTGCTTTATTGTTAGAGTGCGAGTGAGAGACGGTGTATATCCTTTCTAGCATCTCAAGTATTTGAGTATTCATACTTGGTGTGTGGTAATTTAGATAATTGCAACTCTTGAATAATTACACCCTGCCTTTGGCCTGAGGTATTTTGTAGTTTTTGCGAATTTGCAAACTTTTAAAGCCCAACGCGTGTTGGCAATCCTTGTTTAGAATCCCTACAATTGTTCTCTTTTGTATAATCACAAGTTCGCCTTCTACCGGCGTTTTGTTTGGGTTTAATACAAACGTAAATCCCCAGAAAGTTCTTTCCCCAAGAGTTCTCTTCGGCTGGTCTCTTTTCTTTGTAAGTTCTCCTTTGGTCAACGTTCTATTCAGAGTCAATGTCTATTTGTATCCTCAGAAAGTCCGCCTTCGGTTAGCATTCTCTCTCCAAAAAGTCTATCTTTGACTAGTTGGGTTTCGGGGGGTCCACCTTTATTTGTTGTATCTTGATTGGGAGTCTACTTTGGTCGGTCTCTTTTCCATGTTTCCAACATTTAGGTTATGTTTTGATCGGTTCCTTTTCTATAGTTTATCCGTTTTGATCAGGTTTACCTTTTGTTAGCTTAGGTAACATTTCTGGTTAGGTTATGTTTTAATAATTTCCTTCCCTTGTTAAGGTTCTATTTTGATCAGTTCCTTTTCTCTGCTTTATCCGTTTTGATCGGGTTTACCTTCTGTTAGCTTAGCTAACATTTCTGGTTAGGTTATGTTTAGATCATTTCCTTCCCTTGTTAAGGTTCTGTTTTGATCAATTCCTTTTCTCTGGTTTATCCATTTTGATTGGGTTTACCTTCTGTTAGCTTAGCTAACATTTTCGGTTAGGTTATGTTTTGATAATTTCCTTCCCTTATTTAGGTTATGTTTTGATCAGTTCCTTCTCTCTGGTTTATCCATTTTGATCGGGTTTACCTTCTGTTAGCTTAGCTAACATTTTCGGTTAGGTAATATTTTGATCATTTTCTTCCCTTGTTTAGGTTCTTTTTTGATAAGTTCCTTTTCTCTGGTTTATCCGTTTTGATCAGGTTTACCTTCTGTTAGCGTAGCTAACATTTCTGGTTAGGTTATGTTTTGATCATTTCCTTTCCTTATTTAGATTCTGTTTGATCAGTTCCTTCTCTCTGGTTTATCTGTTTTAATCGGGTTTACCTTTTGTTAGCTTAGCCAACATTTCTGGTTAGGTTATGTTTTGATCATTTCCTTTCCTTGTTTAGGTTCTGTTTTGATCAGTTTCTTCTCTCTGGTTTATCCGTTTTGATCAGGTTTATCTTCTGTTAGCTTAGATAACATTTCTGGTTAGGTTATGTTTTGATCATTTCCTTTCCTTGTTTAG